GTGTGCAGACTACCTGACTGTGCAGGCTCCACACACAGGGAGCTATGGGGGATTTGAACCTGGGTCCCTGGGTTGTGAGGCAGCAGTGCTGATCTCTGTGCTATCCGGCCACCCCCCTCCTATTGTCCCCTGTCGGTAACTGATGTATTTGCTTTCTTTAGGCTCCAGCTCATATTCACAGTGATCAGTGTTCTAAGTTGTCAGTAACTGTGGTGCCTGCAGTTTGGACTGGGTAGTCTGTGTGAAGCTAAGTAGGACTGTGTCTGGCCAGTGGTTGGAGTTGGGTTGTTGGTCTGTGAAGATCCTGGTGCTATCCAATGTATCTACAATGACACTAATTAACTACTTTCCATCTAGTTAGTTAGTACAATGACACTAACTACTTTCATTTTATGTCACTTTACTTGCTCTGTTCCCCCCCCAGTACTGCAAGCGTCTGGCCCTGGATAGGCCACTGCAGTTCTCGCAGGCAGACATGCCCAGAATCCGCAAGCGGATCTACAAGGAGCTCTGTGAATGCAAACTTATTGACTGAGAGTATAGTGATGCCTACAGCCACCCATCTATCTCCTGAAATCATTTGTTGTGGGGGGGGGGGTCCAGAGTCCATGGGATGAAAGCAGGGTTGCCACAATTTTTTTCATTATTATTATTTTTTTATTTTATATTTTTTGCACTCATACATGGGGGGGTGGTTGACGAACTGGCATACCTTGAGGAAACCCCACACTGACACAGGGAGAACATGCAAACTCCACACAGGACCTTGGCAGGGATTTGAACGCTGGTCCTTTAGGTGCAAGGCCCAGTGCTAACCACTGCGCCCCCCCCCCCCCAATCTGCTGACGGGAAAGTTAGAACCTGCTGCCAGCTGCTCGTTACAATGATCACATCCCTGATGGCGACAGCCGACGTCGTCAGATTGGTGCCGTTAGGAGCCGTCGTGCTGATTTCCCAAGAGCAAACCGTGTAGCAGCATCAGCGCTGTCGCCTCCCCTCTGACTCCATTCAAACATCCACAGCCGGTTCTTACCCAGCGATGAGTCTCCATGAGTTTAGGCAGGAGTTACGCGCTGGTAAGTAGGAGATCGCTAACAGTACGGTCATTACTTACTTTATTAAAAACTTGAAAGTTCTACTTCTTAAATGTGGGCAAAATTAACTGTGTTAGACATGGAAGGCATAGATTTTATTAATTTACACTGAAAAAAATCCTGTGAGCGGTTAATATATACCGCCCCAGAAGATAGTTCAGAAATGGACCACTGTGCTGATGTATAAGCCTTTCCTAGCTATTTTTAAGTACATCTGTATTTAAATTTATATTTTACTTGAGCTCGTCTTAAACCGTTTCAGGTCAGATGCTTGCCTGCCTTGTGAAGCATTACACAAAGTGCAATGTTGCACCCTCAGATGTGACTTTTGCAGTTTTCCCTTCCACAGTCTGCCTAAGTGCATACCACTGTGGCTTAACAGACTTCCTGGTGTCTAAAGTGAATCTCTCCACAAGCTTATACCAAACACCATGATCCCAGCATGCTTGGTCTGTGAGGCAACACGTGGGAAGGACCGATCCTTAGGAATGAAGGCTGGTAAAAGATGCCATAAATATTTAATCAATGCAGCGTGTTGCACTGAAGCCCAGAGTTGGTGGAGTTGTAATGTGCTGTCTGTTAGGCTTCATTAACCTATTTCCCAGTTAAGGAGGCAGTGACCAAGTAACCCCACCCACCCTGTATGAAAAAGGCAAACATCCATTTAAGGTGACTGACCATTTCATTCCATCTGTTAGCTAATAAAACAGTTTGCAGTGTGTGATCAGTTTGTACAAGCATTTCAAACGTTAGCTGTATTACAATAAAGTGTCCTCAAGTCAGACTCCCTTGGCATTACTTGACTGCAATAGTGCTGAACAATAGTGGGGGGCAGAAATCATAGCGGGGGGGGGGGGGAAATCGGGTGGGCCAGTCCCATAGGCTGTGGGCAGTAGTGTCTTAATGTTTAAGGGAAGCGCACTTGTAATCGAAATACTGGTTCGAATCCCCGACCAGCGAGGCACCACTGAGGTACCCTGAGCACGGTACCGCCCCCAAGCACTGCTCCCCGCGTGCCAAATTAGCTGCCCCCTGCTATGTCACATATGTGTTAAATGCAGAGTACACATTTGTCCACTGTGTGCTGTGGTGTCAACAACGACCACAGATTATCCAATTCTAAATAATTCACTTGGTGACAAAAATCACACTACAGATTCTACATCTATATATTTTATGATCAGTTTTTAAATGAGCTGTGGCGTTACTAAGACCCAAGATAAGAACGATTTGCCTCCCAACAGCGTATTTCCAGTTGTTCTCATCACACACCTGTATAACAACAGTTTTATGCTACTGCATTTCACTGTGAACACCACATGGATGACAGGCCCACGACGACCCTTATCTAGCCATAAGTGGGATATCTGGCTCATATCTGTGGGCCCTTGAGCGAGGCCCTTAACCCCCAGATCCATGGACACCACTGCAGGTGGCTGCCCCTCAAAGCTTACTTTCACCTACATGTATGTCATGGAGAGCAAGATGGGGTAGGCGAAAGGAACGTCCCCATGGGGATCGATAAAGTATCACCATCATTAAAGCAGACTGCCAGCCACAGTTCTAATGCTGGGTCAGACTCCTGAACCTGGACCCATGAATCACGATCAGGTACAAACCCTAGATCCACATGAATTTTTTAAATAAAGAGAAGATTTTGGGAAAATACTAAAAATGTTTATTTGGTGTGGGGATGGGGTGCACAATGTTGCAACACAATCAATGGAAATATCAAATTCGTAAATAATGTTTGGAGAAAAGCTGCCTTCAAGATCAATGGGCCTACTGTCCAACATCACAATAATGATAAAAAAAACAGGCTACTGGACCACAGTTCGGTACCAGATATACAGATAAAAAGGCAAGCGATGCCAAAACGGTACGGAAATAAGTCTAACTGAAAGTAAACCAGATTAAAATTTGTGTCTTCCTTCTGGTGCTCTTTGAAGCTGAGTAAGTTTCCCGTATCCACCCCGAGCAGGGTCATAATCTTGCCTGTATTCGTCTCTGACCTGAAGGAGAAAGGCAGTTGTTCGTTTTCGGCACACTTGACTGAATGGGTTTATTAACTTAATGCGATTTATCTCCAGAGTCTAACAGCTACTGCTCTTAGTTTGTGATTACTGATCAACTGAAGAACAACGACCTGTCAGCGTCACGATGCATAAAGGCTGACATCCTGCAAACGAGGTCAACTTACCTGCCCTCCTGACTTGCCCCGTCCATACTGCCTCCCTTCTTTGAAACCCGCGTCCCAGTCTGTCCGGATGATCCTGTCATCCAATCTGGTGCCATTAAGGAACCTCATGGCATTCTCCGCGTCCACCCTGGTGTAGTATCTTTTCGCAGGGTTAAGGCATGTCGGGCACATTGAAACGGCGATCATTCCAGAACCGCGTTAATATGATAGTAAATCAGCGTAAAACTCGAAGGCCCTAAGGACAATGTTTTGGGAATCGAGTCTTTTTCAACCAAACTGCATACAATTCACAACCAAGAGTGAAAACACATTTAAAGACGTACGATACTTCGCTTTGACCAATAATTTATGCGCGATCACATTCAGGATACTCAACGAAGCAGAATCCACATGCCGTTTTCTTCACTTTATCCAGACCAATAATGATCCTTTTCACATCACCACTTTTGGCGAACAACTCGTACACCTGCTCTTCTGTTGTGTAAAAGGACAAATTTCCCACGTACAACGTGCTGCTTTGCTTCAACAGTTTCTCCTGCTCGTAGCGATTCCCCTGGCAAGTAAAAGAAGCAGATAAAATTGCCGCCGTCGCTTAATCTGTTTCATGAAGCACTAAACATATACACTGACATGCACGTTACCCCGAAATCAGATCTTGTATTCAGTATTCCGAAGACATTAAGAAAACACACTCACCTTAAAATGCTGATCTCTATACTGACTTACGTCGATGTAAGAATCGCTGTGTAAAGCGTTCAACTGCGCAGACATATTGTTCACCAAGCACTGATATTCCAAATGAACGTATCCAAAATAAAACCCAAACACTTCCCTCGGGGTTGACCAAGCATGCGCTGCATAAACATTTATTCCTGATTACCGGATATGGTTATGACTATTTCCGGGGATATGCAGTCCGGTCAGTAAATGAGACCGGTGGGAAACAAACAACGCAGCGAATGGAATTTTTGGGGTCACTTTAAATTGGTGGTTAATGCATAATTGTACTTACACTGATAAAACTAACGAATGTGTAATTTATATGAGTGTATCGCAAAATACAATGTGACTCAGGTGTCCTGAAAGCATCATATGGGTAAATATTTGGTATTCCTTTAAAATCACTGACGGTGGTTATATGCTGTGGCAGCAACATAATCTTCGACTGAGGACATTGGATTAGAGGTAATTTTGTAACTAGCGTTGTGCTGAATTATATGTTGGACATTTTAAATATTACTTCTTGTTCCGGTTACTGATACTTTTATGCTCTCAACAGATCGATTAAACATGGTATTAAAGCGCCTTCTGTTTACTTTGCTGAATAACGCTCAAGTGATCGAGAAACTGTCGGAGTCACGTCCGATTAGACGAGCGGCGCAGATTACGGTCTTTGCCGTCACAAAAGCACGTATCGCTGGCAAGGATGCGACGGCAAAACTCCTGCGATCGGACACGCTGCGCCGGATCCGCCAGGAGACAAGTGGGGATATACCGAAAGACCTGGGCGAGATGGGACGGAGAGTCGAAAGACTTCGAAGGACTTTCGTGAACGAGGTTAAAGAAGGAATGAGGGACGCCTCCAAGCAGATAAAAAACAAGGAGAAATAATACCAAATGGACTCTGAAAAGTCAATATTAATAAAACATACTAGTTGTCAAGGTGTGTGCTTTCATGGATATGTACCCATCTGCCTGTTTCGTGAACAGCAATAAAATACATAAAATAAATTTGCTAGTATGGGTTGGATCTTTCCGTGCCGGAAGTGATGGGCGCCACTTGGCGCAGAACCCGGCACAAGATTTTTTACAAGGAATTGCGGTGAATATATACACTCACCTAAAGGATTATTAGGAACACCTGTTCAATTTCTCATTAATGCAATTATCTAATCAACCAATCACATGGCAGTTGCTT